AACTAATTTTTTGAAGCAACGCATGTGTACCAGTTTGTCACAGAGCCCTGCCGTAGTTAGATGTCGCCTAATATTTTCTTGATTACAAAGAGGAAGTTTAGTAAAGTGAGTGCAAGTTCAGCAACTAACAATTCAGTAATAAATGGTTTATCCTCTACGATTTCCCTTGGCGCGTTGTCGGTCCCTGTTCTTTCTAGCCTGTCCTTTTTGGTGCTTATTCGAGGTACTTTTCCGAGCATTTTTGGTGTGTTCTGAAAAAAAAAAAAAGGAAAATGTTGAGAGAAAGGAATCTTCCCTAATATTTTTTCTTCATAACAAGAAAAGAAAGGAGTTTTCATTGACTGAATGAGCACTTTTGATACAATTATCACTTGCCTGCACCCCCTGAACTCTTTCTTGATTTATTTCTGCTCCTTCCGGCCTTTTTGGCTTGGTTCTTGGCCCTTTTCTTAGCAGCTTTGATTGCACTCTTTGACAAATATCTCCCTACCCACGGCCAAATCGGCGCGCCACTCGCCCCAGGGAGAAACAGGGAGGAAGACTGGACACTTATCTCGCCGTCATGTTGTCCCGCGTTGAACCAAGTGCTACCGAGATGCATAAAATCTGCAGCAATGCTCATTGCAGTCAGAATGTAGACAAATTTTAGGAACAGCGATCCCATTTTGACGATCAAGAACTGTAACAGATAACTGAAATAAAAAGAAAATTATTGAAACAAACAATTATCCGGTACAAAATAAAAATGAAATGATTAGAATGATTCAAAAATAGGCTCAAACGTTAGCCTTCGATGACAAAATATTCATATTTTAATCCGTGAACAAACTACTTACCTCGTTCACCGTTCTTTGCTCGTCCTTCTACTCTCACCTATCTTCAACAAATATGTGCAGTAGAGTGGTGACAACCAAAGCCCTTTAAGGCTTTAAAGGTTTCTCCCTTCACGTGATAGCCGGAAGTAAAATCTCGTTGGTCGGAAGTTACTTTGTTTTGAAGTGTTTCTAAAGTTGCCTTAGAGACACCCACGCAACAATTTCTTCCGTTGCAGAATTAAAAAAGCTAAACTTGCGCTAGAGCTAATACAGTTGAAGTGCAAACGTGCCGAAAGGTCAAATAACTGAAACCATACACTGAAAGACCTGAAACGCCCAAATATTTTTTAAGACTTCCGCTTTATAACCATTCTATTATTTTCATGTAACCTACATAACTTTCGGTCCGGAGCTTTCATCAAATTCACTTATTGGGTTAGACTGAATGAGGAGTTCACAACTTGGACAGTTCTTAATACAATGGTGTCATTAACGCCGTTGAAGACTGCAGATTTTCATGACGGTGACCCTTGACTTAACAGTGGTGTGTGGAAAAATAGGAACAAGGTCATTATATCGGCCCAAGTGTCTGATATACCAGTAGCTTTCCCTCTTGGCCCGCTGGTGGTACCGTTTTGGGTCAAATATAACAAAAATGATTACTTGCTAATATCTATCAGCACTTGTGGGTTTGATCATTATAGATATCGCTAAACCATGAGTACCTCACTCCTTTGATTTTTTTTCTCGAAAATGCATCTTCTTTGATGCGTAAGAAACCATTCGGTCAAACTCAGATTTATAGCGTCTATTTTGTTACCGAGATCACTTAGACGAAATTGACCGATCACATTACAGAAAATGAACAGTGGGAAAAAAAAAACAAAAAAAAAAACAAATCAAATCAATTGTGCCAGAAAGAACTGTAGAGTAAAGCAAGCAAAGAATGGCTCGTTTCCTGTAATTGAAACCCTTTTGGTGTTACTAACTTCGGAAACAGTAATCATTCTGTTTCTAATTTCGTTGTATTTTATATCACAGGGGCACGTGAATTGTGCAATTTTACCATAATCATGAGATAAAAAGAAACCATTAGTCGATAATGGAATGACCTAAAGGGCCTTATTAAATTGTTGTCATCGTCTAACTCCCATCGGTAATATTGAGTATCTTGATGTAAAGGCACGGAGACAGGAATATGATCAATATCTTAGGCATTAGTCAGCAATTGTTTTAATTTTTTATGACTGAAATTCGGAGACTTCGGAGACGAAAAAGGACGAAAGGACAAAGGAGAATAGATAAAGGCACTTTCGTGATATGAAGTATAATACAAGCTAGGACAGTGAGCTGTGTTTCTGGTAGGATGAAGTAATAACCCTTTGCAGTAAAAACTGAATTATAAGAAATTTGCAAATCTTAATGCGGAAAATTTCATTATTCGAAACTTATCGAGCGGCTTTTCCCATAAATCCCGAGTGATCCAAGTATTCACATCAATGTTGTCATAGAGAAATATGTAGAGAGATGAATGCCAAACGTGAATTCATCATCTTATCAGCGGAGTTTCCCTCTTTTGATTATGATGTTGATTTAAATCAGATTTGCCTAAATTGAAATTCTTATTTGTTTTTTTGCGTTTTTCTCTGAAAATGTTATTGCAGTAAGGAGCGCTGTGTATATCGTATTTGTACAAATATCGGTAAAGTTGTTAGGAAATAAATTTGACCGCATACATATAGGTGACCGTGCTCTTTCAAGAACAAAAGACAATTGTACCTGTTTACCTCACCCATTGATTGAAAAACAATACTATGTTCTAGGAATGCATTCGCGCTTTTTCGCCTGATTACGTGATTTTTATGCGCAGTACAACACTGAGGAATCACCGTTAAGCAGTTCGTTTGCCATTAATTTGGGTTTGTAATATTTATCGTTCTTCTGGTTCGCTAAAGGGTAAACTTCAATTGCAGTCGAATGACAATAAAAAAACAACCGCTCTACAGGCCTCACTCATATCCTCACATGATACAAAAATGCACAAAGCCGAGCAAATCATTTTATCGGTTTCGTAGAAAACAGCTCGCTAAATTAAACGGTAAAATTATCTTTTTTCAAAGGCAGTTTTTTTGATCAAAGTTTCTATGATACGCTGATCACATTTTCCTGTTTTCTCTACTAGGAAAAGTTCAGATTTTTAATAACGCAGACGCGGGGCGATGATGAAGTGATTTTGAATGTAGCGTCGCGGCAACCATTGAGAAAATCATATTTTGGTGTTATTAGGCACGAAATAAGTTGTTTCAAACGCATTCTTCTTTCTTTAGAGTGTGCTACGCTCAATAAGTCGAACAACGAAGATACTCCGAAACAAACAGGAAGTGACATCGAGTCAAAATCGGGTGAAGTTCGGTATTCTATTTTTACCCTCTTACACTCGTAACCCTTTTATTCTTTTTACATTTCCATGACATATGTGGCTTCCTCTTCTCTTTTATATAGGAGGCAGTAGCCATAATAATACTTACCGATCCGAAAAATGGTGCGCAGGAGGCGAGGCCCCACTTGACGGCAACAAATTCAGTCTTTATTTTGCAATCATAATTTGTAACGTGTTCGGGAATCAAAGTACTTTCCACTCGAAGCTCATTTCGTCGCTTTCAAGGTTGAACTAACTAATGTTTTCCAAACCAGGTACATTCGCTTTTCATTTTGAGGTTCAAAAAATATATTTCAATCGGGATGGAATGGAAAAACCAACTTGGAAAATCTCAAAGCAGTCAATTGCTAAGAAATTTTGCTTTCCAAGCCATTTCTTTACCGACACATTGAATTTAATTATACGAATAGTCAGTCACGCAAATAGCTGTCACAACTAATCGGGAGCGTGTAACTAATGCAAACTAACTCAAAGGTTTAGACAAATCAAAATAATTTCAATCCTCTATTGGCAACACCTTTAAAGCATTTCACTGTAAGAAGAGTTAGTTTTGGGCTGCAGCACTGCAGAAAATTCTTCAGAATCTTTGGGATGGATACAGATCAGCAGTATTCTAGAGCTTGAACGTGGTGATGGACTGAATATAGGAATCAAGGAATACTTTTTCACGTCTTATCATATTTTTTTTGACTCAAAGATGGATCAAGGGTTCGAAGTCCCTTGTTCGATAGTACAACGTTCCACTGGGACCACGATCCCATGAATTACGACGATCAATGTTTCTTTTGTACAGTATACTCGACAACCTCGTTTCCAAGGTCCTCTCTCTTCCTCACTTGAGAAAGTACCCTGGTTGCGGCTGATCGCAAATCGAGGGAGGGCTTTTGCGAAACACTTTTTCTATGCAAACCTTGCTTATTAAAATAAGTGCATTTTTTCAAATGCTTGACTGACTTTTAAATCACGCACCACGTTTCTTACAATATTTTCGTAATGATTTCCTCACTCACGTTGTGAATCTAGGAAAGAGAAAATAGAAGGGAGGTTGTGCGCGAAACTGCCCTAAATCTACCTTAAAATAGAGAGATAAATTTTTTTCTAATTGAAAATCATTTTTATTCAGTAACTTAACGCCATTAGAAAGCGAAATTGCGCTAGTTTTGCTTTGATTCGCTCCAGTTTTAGTTTCCCTGTTATTTCGCCTACGCAACTATGTCGTCGTGGTTATGTTGTCCAGCAAAAGGCGAAAATCGTATACCATTGATGATGCTGAAAAAGATGCCTTCCGCCATAGACCTCTTTTTTTCAATTACGCACTGGACTGGGTTTCTCTCACCACACGCTACATAACTCTGTCATGGCTCCAACTCAAAACTCTAGTTAAAAATAACGGATACCTTATTTTGATCTGCTTCAAAATGTCGGGCTATAATTAAAGGACTTCAATTCACAAGGTTGTTCCAGGTTTTTCCCATTTATTTATTAAAATTTATATTACCACGTTATCATAATCACTTACCGATGACAATATTATACCCCCCAATCACTAAAATAAAATCTCTTTACTCATAAGCCACTATTTCAAATAGCGATTTCATTTTTGTAATTACACACATGTTGAGCCGGAGGTAGTCGATCAATCACGTGATCAGAGTTTGTGAGTTGCAGCTGCCACTAACCAGGCCGGGACATAGACAAACTCAGGCATCATCCAGGCGACAGAGGGGTAGGACCTCTCCAGATGAAACTTCACTTGACGAATGGACAACGGTTGAGTTCCTACAAGAAAGAACCAAGATTTCCTCTTGTCTGTACTACTACAAACTGAATTGCTCAACTATGACATAGTTAGTTGTTGAGCTTCTCATAAGCTGTGATTTCTGGTACACAGAAAGTGGAACAGTTTCGACATAGAGTCATGTATCTTTTATCCTTGGGTACCTTTCAGGGACAAGAATAATAATAATGATAATGCTAGTGATAATGACGATGATGATGATGATGATGATGATGATGATGATGATGATGATGATGATGATGATGATGATGATGCAGATGCTGATTATGGTGATAACAAAATTGAGAATGATAATGAGGAAGGGGGCAGGAACCCACGATGGTCCAACATCTCATCCAGGAGGAAACATGTAACTACATCATGTTATACGATAAGCTGAATTATACTGAATTTTTTGATTGGCTCTTACATATGATCTATTGGAGGACAGGTGCATCGAAAGCGTCAAAATTTATCAGCATCTTAGATTCTATGTTGCCTTCTGCTTGTACAGTAATAGATCACTAAAGACATCAAATGTCTTAACCCTTTGACTCCCAGAAGTGACTGACATGTAAATTCTCCCTATAATATCCATATTTTTTTCAGCAAAGGGTTAATGAGAATACTCAAAATTATCAGGTAGAAGTTGTCATCTTGATCTTACACCAAAGTCTCGTGGCTGATTTACAAAGAATTGTGTAGCAGCTAGAGGGGAGAATTAACGATCAGATCTTGGGTGCTGAAGGGTTAAGAACATCAGTGAAACACTCGGCTGCGCCTCATATGCCACTTTTTTTTTCTAACCACATTTTGACAATATCTGTGATCTGTCACTGTACAGACAAACGGCAACATGGTATTTATTTTGAAATTTCTTTCCTATTCTGAGAGTCCACATACCTCCAACATCTTTGAAACCGTATTCTTTGGCCAACTCTGCCACTATTAGAATCCGACCAGTCTTTTTCATGATGTCGCTATCTGAGAGGGGTAATCAAATTTCAGACGTCAGAACAAATGAAGAAGGCGTATGGCATGTGGGGTGCTTTTACAATGTAGTCGAAAGCTCTCACATCCATTTGTAACAACTCTTGAAGAATAATATGCAAGAGTGAAAAAAGGATGATGCTTTTCTTGTGTCATCGCGAGCGTTGAAAAAAAAAAAAATCTATTGAGTCTTCATGACGAAGCGAACGTAAGAATTTCAAATTCCGTGCTCCGATACTCAACCACTGGATTTCAGAGGGCGTTGTGATTAGCTAGGCCATTTCTAGATTGATATGAGATACTCGTCTGGCAAACTGCAAGGATCAGTGAGGTCGAAAACTTTGTGTGAGCATATAGAATAAGAGAGATAGTAAAACCAGACCACGAAATACAACGTAGCTGAGGGAGACCTTCTGTGTGAAGACTGTGTTGCGCAATGCTAATATAGACAATGACGGGAGTACCTGATGCAAGCCACGCCACAGCTTTGCCGGAGAACGTGACATCTTCAGCGTCTTTGAAAATTGTGGCGGCTTTACTTGCCTAAAAAACGTAAGACGGAAGAAATACTTACATACTCAGAGCCGGCAAGCAAATTGTCACAAGCTTTGTGGCTCGAGAAGTGAAGCAGCGAAAAACAAGCCCACGAAGTGCTTGGCTTTGCAGATCGCACCCAGCACAGAGTTAATGACATCAAGTTCACAAGCTATTTAACAGTTTGGTTATGACATCGAGATTCCTATCCCGTCATAGCTGATAAATGCTGAGCCCGAGCAAACCGTGGATTACAACAAGTAGCCAATGACAATACACCAAAGATAAGGACCGCACGAGGCGCGGGAAAACGTGGGCGACCTGGTCGCATTTGATTGGTAGAGGGGGTGGCTCTTGACTTCCAGACCAATCACAGCGCGAAAACTTATGCAATACTTTTGACACTCATTCAAAATTGCTACCGCTCCTGCTCCTGCCCTAACCTCTCTTAAAACATAGCATTTATAATTAAAGAGTACCTTTCCTCCTTGATCCGCTTTGCTGAGAATCAAGTCCGTCACAATCTCAGTTTTCACAGCTCCTGGCCACAAAGAGACACACGCCACGTTCTGTTTGCGTAGTTCCACAGCCATGTCTGCAGCCATTCTGTCCGTCTGGGTGAAGTAAGAATATTACGATAAGACGGTTGAGAACATCTTAGTTTGTTAATCATGCTGCCGGTACTTAATTCGGCAATTATGGCATAATGTCTTAGCAAAGTCGCTGAAACCGGCAGAAACCATTGAAATAACTTTCAATGTACGATATAATAGCACAAATATGTTGTGCAAGGGAAGGGAGGGGAAGGGGTAAGAAAAGGGAGGGGAGGGGGAGGGGGGGAGAGAAGGGAGGGGAGGGGGGGAAGGTGGTAAGAGAAGGGGGGGTACTTACTGCAGCTTTGCCGACGCCATATGCAACATTAAAGAGATATCTTAAGCCTCCGGCTGATGACACATTGACAATGAGCCCCTGTTTTGCTGGAACCATCATCTTAGCTGCATGCCATGCAGCCACATAACTGGATCTTTAATGGGAAATAAGTCAACAGAAAAGAATAAGTATCAGGCAACTCAGTCAGTGACTCAGTTCATCAAGTTATGGTCTGTCATTCAGTTGATGAGTCAAGCAGTTGGTCTGATCAGTAAGTTGGTAGACACCCAAAGTCACTGAGTCATTCAGTTTATCAGTCAATTAGTAAATCAGCCAGTGGGCCAGTCATCCAGTCTTTCAACCATCAGTCATCCTGTGAGTCAGCTATATAGTCAGTCAGTTGGAGAGATAGTCAGATAGTTAATCAGTACGTCTGTCAATCAGACAGTTGGTTAGACAGTCAGCCAAACTGCAATATTTCATACTTTGGAAGGGCTACTCAAACTAATTTAGCTTTAGTTTGTTTTATTTCATGAATTGAGCTGGAATCATATTCAATAAACAAGGATAATTAGCAACTGCTACAAAATTGCAGTGCTAAATATACCTGGCAAATAAGTGCTCAGTATTTTCTCTGTGAAATCATACCTGCCATCTTTGATTTTTACAGAAGCAGAAGACTGGAACGAAAAAAATTAATTTGCTCCAAGCGGGTGTGAGTGACAGTCAAGGATGGAGACAGGAGAGGGCTGACAATGTCTTTCTACCTTTTCCCACCACCTCCTCTAACTGTCCCACTGTCACTCAAATTCAAAACCAGGCATATCCAAGAATATACAATTGCAAGTTTGTAACATCAGTGAATTGGCCCTCAGTACTGCAAGCTAGATATAACTTAAAAACACTTCTCATAAAGAATTAAGATCAATAATTACCTTAAGCCCACATTGTTGACCTCATCCCACATCTCCACTGACTAGATAGAGGACAAAGATAGGGGGTCAATCATTTTTTTTTTTAAAGACTGCATCCTATACATTGTTAGGTTTTGTTAACTATGCCTGTAAATAAAATGAAAACTAGCTAAGAGTCTGAACCAAACTTGCAAAAGCTGTTTCATAAGACAGTCTTCATCAGGAGAAGTATTATTTTGACTGACCTGTTCATAAAATGGTTTCCCAGCACTCTCCAATATTGCCTAAAGGTGAAGGACAGCAAGTTAGTAAATTATAAGTGCACTGTGATACAGTTCCTTTAAAAGTACTCCCAGCCTTAAATAGTAATGCAAGGCCACAAAACAAGGGAGGTGTGAGACAGGTCCTGTTCCCTATTTTAATCTGCTATATCCAAAAATGCATTGCACATGCTCATGAATACAGGTGAAGTATGGATAGTGGCTTTTATTAATCTATCTAGATTATCACAAATACAGTACACTAACTTCAAATAGTGATGTGCACAAAATTCTCTGATCCTTCACCTAGTAAGTATGGACACTGATATGTTCTGTTTATAAAGTGGATGACAGCTGTTATGCACTTATATATCACAGATAAACATCACCTTAACTCCTTTGTAAGCATTGTTCACAAGAACATCCAGTCGTCCATTTTGTTCTTGACTGACTTTTTCAAACAATTTTTTTACTTCCTCATCATTTCCATGGTCACACTTTACAGGAATACATTGACCAGCACTCTCCTGACCAATCTGTAGTAAATTTACAAAATTCATTCTGTATTAACCCTTTACACCTTAAGACCAGTTTCCATATTCTCCAAACTCCACTCAGTCAATTTTCTTTGTTACTGACAAAGAGAATTCATTTGACAATCAAAGCTACTAAAGTCCATGATAATTCTCTTTATTCTCATGACTTTAATGAATGATTTAGCAGAATTATGGTAAGGAGAAATTAGATGCTGGTCACTCTTATGCATGTATGTTGATGATGACAACCTAATAACTTAACAGGCATAGGGATGCTTTTCTTCTTGTTGCAGGGGCCTACTTCCCCATTCCTTCCTCTGTGCATTTATTATTATACTTGCAGCTCATATTTTACTTGCTCTCCACACAATGATTAGAGAAAAAAAATGACTATTTTTAACGTATACATGCCTTCATTACACAATCTAGTATCTCCAGGTGTAAGTTAGAAAGAATAAGTATGACAATTTTTTTGTGAGAAAAGATATATGAAGATATAAAAGCAAATACCAGAAGGGAGCCCTTTTCCTCTAGTTGGAAGATACTGTGAGAGTAAAGTGTCTTGCTAAAAACAAGGCTTGCAGCTGGACCTCTCAATCCCACCTCCTGTCCTAAGTACGCCCATTCGATCAACATACTGCTGTCACTTAATGGTGATTTGCAGCTTAATAAAGTATACAAGATTTCACAACCTACTGTAACCAATGCGACTAGAACTTTACACTGAAATGAAATTCAAGCCACTGTCTCTTTTTTGCAAATACCTCTTCAGCTGTTTCCCTCAATGACCCTTGCTTGCCTTGTGCAGCATCAAGAGTCCTGCCTGCAAATTCAAGTAAGGATGAGTGTCTAAAATGTACTGTCTGTCCAACCCTTTCCTTCAGACAGAATACAAAATTGTTTAACAGACTCCAAAAATTTGCCGCAGTAGTTATTTATCCAAGCTAGTCATGGGAAGTGATGTCAGTAATTATCTTTGACAGTCCATGTATAAACTGTCAAACAGTCTCCTTCCTTCATCTCTTTTATGTTCCACTTGTAGAGGAGGTAAAATTAAGAGAGAATCAATCTTGAGTATACCTTTTCTAACTGAAAATTCTATTTTTGTTACTTGCCTGTGATATAAACAGTAGCTCCTGCCTTGGCCAACATCAAAGCAATACCTTTGCCAATTCCCCTGGAAGCTCCTGTCACAATGCATACTTTTCCTGCTAAAGAAGGCAGCTCGGACGCCATCCTGTCTTGAACTAAAGATAGGAAAATTTGTAATAGGGTGTCAGCATTTACTCAAGGTTACTTTTGTTTTGCTTTTCCCCGCTTTCCTCTCCCTTTGGTCTTGAAATCTTATGCCACCTCAACCAGACAGTTGCAAACCTTACACCTACTGGACCTTGCCAAAATGAATACATTAATTTTGAGTGCATGACAATAAAATGAACACTCTACTCAACAAATCACCCTTGACCTCACATTTTCTCTAATTATTTCATTCTATTCATGATCATGAAGCAACATTGCACAGAATCACCAATATATTAGGCTAGCTGTGGGCAGTCTCTTGAAAGATGTCAACCTATAGGGGATATACATTATGAGACCTCAAGTTGTTCCATGTACTCTTCATCCAAGTAGTCAAAGCACTACTGAACAAAAGATCACATAGCTTAAAGAATCTGAACATGGCCAACAAGGTGCAACGCAGTGTTAAAAAAATTCACTTCAGTTAAATGTAGTTTATTCAATGTATAGCGAGCATGCGGAGGGTAAAAGTAGAAGACTTCGATATTATCACTCTAACAGTCACATCACTTGCTAATTTTCGAGTAGATGATTCATTCTCAAAGGCTGTAAATTTGTCTTACGTAACAGTGCCTGGCATCTTATTATCAGAGAAAGTCACGCAAACAAGATTAGGCTATCAGAATATCATGTACGGGCTTTGCAGCGCCTTTTTCTTTAATTGAGTGCATAGTGGCCAATGCAAACGAACACGAAGGTACGGCAATGTTTACACAAAGCAAATCATTTAAATCCTCTTTAGACAACATCTTGAGCAGATTTCAACACATTTGGCTGTGAGAAATTGAGTTCTGAGCTGCAACGCTTCTTCAAATCTTTAGAATAGGTAGAGATCAGCAAAATTATAAGAATAGGGAACACATATTTACGCCTTACCTGAAGTTTTTTTCACTCAAAGATCGAAAAAGAGTTCGAAGCACTGTAGTCACGAGCCTGCGAAATAAGATCACCGAATGGATGTTTGTTTTTTTGGAGTATAGTCGGGTAAAAGTAAGTCATTTCCGTAGCTACGACTTTCGTCCGTCTACCTTCGACTCAACGTCTTGTGCAAAGGTGCGACTTGATTGGTGGAAAACAGTCGGAAATTTCCGGTAGTTCGATTTTAATTCCCTTCAGAGTAGGGGTAGGTGAACTTTCCTCAAATAAAATTGGTACATTAGCTTACAGCATATCGTCTTGGAATGTCACGGCGGGTCTCTGTAAGTAGATTTTCTGGAACCTTGAGGTCTCTGAGAATGAGCACAACTGCAGCCTCGAGTCGCAGCTTAGAAGGAAAAGTCGCTGTTGTAACGGCATCAACAGAGGGGTTGGTTGATACAAGTGTTCATGCTACATGAATGGGAGCGAAATGGTCTGAAGGCAATTTCAACGTAATTTACAAATGATTTCGAGTCAACTTTAGTTCTTGTGTGTTTGAATTAAGCATGACGATTCGATGTTATCCGACTTTTCCTGGTCTAGGTAGAAAACAGTGTAGCACAGAAAGAGTTGTTCCCAGCTAGCTTGGATTCACTCTATTTTAGAGCTCTTAGTAGGTGGCGAGGGGAGGGAGGTGGGTTGGGTGCTGGTGCTGGTGCAGAGAGGGTCCATGATGTAAAGTTATACTCATTATTAACACTGATCTCTGCTCAAACTTTTGACACATCAAGTAGTAGGCTTGGATTGTTAGTCCACTCTTTTTAACATCATGTTCCCAAATACAAAAGTGTTTCCTTTACCATATAGGAGATCTATATCAGATCTTGATGTTTCTGAAGTAACTACTTTTTCTTCTTTTGGAGATCCGTCCACTGAAATTTTAATACTTTCTACCAGAGTCTTGAATATTACTCTTAATGTCAGGATAGGTCACAAGTCAAAAATATTCCTATAAAGAGATGTTAAACAAAAACATTAATTGCTGAACGTTTTTAAATAGTGAATTACATATTTTCATTACAAATCAGCACAAGTCACTTGTTGTTTGATTTTTGCTTAGTAATGTGAATAATTACCAAGTATTTTCTTAGGATTGGGTTTGCCATTGCTAAACAACTTGCTCACGATGGTGCAAAGGTTATGATCAGTAGTCGCAAACAAGACAAAGTTATTGATGCTGTCTCTAAGTTGGAGAAAGAACAAGGTTGTACAGTGAAGGGAGTTGTGTGCCATGTTGGGAAAACTGAACATCGTAGGAATCTTATCAAAGAGGTACTATTCAAAGTGCTAACTTCTGATAATGTATGCGGAGAAAACATAGTATTTATAATGAATGATATTTGATAATGATATTACTATGTTTGCAACAAACATTTCTCTCTACAGACATTGGATACTTTTGGAGGCATTGACATCTTGGTTTCAAATGCTGCTGCTAACCCCACATTCGGACCAATCCTGGAGGTAATACTTGACTTAACCATCATTCTAATGTGAGCATGAAAAGGATTGTTATGATGATAATGATGATGATGACAATGAGAGTAATGGTGATGGGAGCATTTTGATTGCTGTGAAAACCACAGTCATGATGATGATAGTAATGTTAAGATGGAAAAAGGGCTAAGATTAAAAGGTTTGAAGCTATACTGCTACCAGTTTCATTTTTTTGCTTGAAAAACAATTGTACTTGTTTTGTGGTTATATTCATTTTGTAATAGAACACTTTTCTATCAATATAGAAAGTACTATCAGTGACAGGGATCCTTTGGTTTTGTCTTATCTTAATCTGTGATTGTATCAGAAAACTAGTAATACTATCTCAACCAGTCAGACTTAAAACTGAAATCAATTGTGACTTAAAAGATCAATCACATTTTCTTATGTTCCATGTGTTTTTTTGCTTTAATTTTCTTGGATCATGTTCTCATGGGGTTTTTGTGATTTTAATCTTTTTTCATGATTGCATGGCCATTATAAGTGACTTCTTTTGATTTTACAAAACCTAATCCTATTGTGCTCTAAAATGAGAGGAACAGCAGGCTTCAAGGAAAAACTATATGTTACAGAATGATAAAAATTGATCATGTTATGAAGTATGGTCTATACCTATGATATATTTTATTTCAGACACCAGAGGAATCATGGGAAAAGGTATTATCATTTTTGTGAAGATTACATATTGATATATTTTTTTGGCATACAATGTGCATTAGTTTGTTAATGACATGTTTAAATCAGCTCTTGCCTGCAAGTAGGAATAGAGGGGGCAGAGGAACTAAAAGGGAAAGAGAAGACAAATGCACTGCTACCTAAATATGTATGGTTGTCAGTAGTTAATATAACAAAGCAATTCAAAGAAGGTGACTCTATGATTGCTTGAAGGTGACATAAAAATTTTCTTTGAAAAGTAATCTCAAATGAGCCACATGGTTTGAAAATTTTTACAATTATCTGGGGAGGAATATCTGTGGAACCTCTCAAGTCCACAACAATTTCATCTTCAATTGGCTCCCTCTGCACACTGCGACGTTCCTTCATTGGAGCCTAACCTTTTACTGTATTATGATAATTAACCAATGAAGGTCAATTTTAGAGCACTGCTTAGTTAAAAGTGTAACAGACTTTAAAGTCAACTTAAATTGTAAAAACTGACAAAGTATAAATTTCCTGGTCTTTCTGTTCATTTTGTTTTTTTTGGTCTTTTGTTAATACAGATTTTTGATATCAATGTGAAGTCAGCTTTTCTTCTGGCAAAAGATGTTGTTCCATTTATGAAAAAGAGAGGGTTTGTATACTGAGTCCCAATTTGAGATATTGGTATTGGTGGTACCGTAGTTTAGTTAACTCTTTAACCTCTAAGAGTGACTAGCATCTAATTTCCCCTTACAATATCACCACTGAATCACAGATTAACGTCATGAGAATAAAGGAAAAGATCACCAATGAAAGAACTCTTGATTGTTAGACAAATTCTCCTTGTCAGCACCTTAGTAAATATACAGAGAACAGTATGGAGAATATGAATGTTAGGGTTGTTAAGGGTTAATCTTAACTGACTTGTTCCAGTTATCAATAATGAAGATAATTTGAGATGCAGTTTATCTAAAGACGAAATTTTGTTGCTTGTTTATTTCAGAGGTGGATCTATAGTGTTTGTTTCATCCATTGCTGGGCTCCAGCCATCCCTGCAGGTAGATATAACCCTTTTCAAACTTAATTGCCCTACAAGACAATACTTGGTGTGAAAAATATGCTATTCTTATAAGTTTGTTTTAATTTATTCAAACATTGATTAATTTGAGACCCAATCTTCAGTTTTAGTTTTGAGCGGCTTTGAAATACTTTGTTTTTCAAATAGTGTGAAAAGTGTGACTTACTGGTAGTCATACTTAAATCAAACCCCCAAAAAATTACTTTTAAAGTAACTTTTAAAAAGTTACTTTAAAAAGTTACTTTAAAATTACTTTAGTCAACCTTAAGATGGAAAAATAGGTAGTTATTTATGACTGAAAAGCATTTTTGATTATTCAGTATCTTAATGCCATATTGGTTTCAGGGTCTTGGTGCTTATAGCGTTAGCAAGACAGCTCTGCTTGGTTTGACCAAGGTTCTAGCCAATGAATGTGCTCACATGGGAGTGAGGGTGAATTGTGTTGCACCTGGGATCATCAAGACAAAGTTTAGTGGAGCAGTGAGTATTCAAATGTCAGAGCAATCTACTTTAGTTACATTTGCCCTTTTATTGCAAATAACCATGAGACAAAAATAAAAATGAAATTCATCCAGACGATGTGACATCTATGAGCCAGAAGAGGATTGTTTTCTGAAATGTAGCGGAAAAGCTGGACATGATAATGTTTGTACTGGTACGTGGGATTGAGACAAAAGAAAAAGAAAACGAGAAGGGCTGGATAAAAAAATGAACAAAGAAATAAATAAATGCATGATCACTATCATCTGACTTCCTTCCTAGGTGGTTTAAAACTTGACTTGTATAAGGTAAATAAAAATAGACATTGGGGTGTTATTTTTTGTAGCTTTGGCAAAGTGAGTCCTTAACTGAAGCCGCACTTGCTCAAATTCCCTTGAGGAGGTAGGAGTTGTGATTTACTGGAAAGAATTACTCAATCTTTTTCTCCCAGGATCTCTTTATTAACCCTTTACACTCTAACATCAGTATACACATTCTCCATACTGTTCCCTATGTATTTCCCAAGGCACTGTCAAGGAGAATTTGTCCAACAATCAAGAGCTTCTTTAGTTGCTGATCATTTGCTTTATTCTCATGACCATCATGAGCAATTCAGTGGTGATATTGTAAGGAGAAATGAGATACTAATCACTCTCAGGGGTCAAAGGGTTCATTCTCTCTTCTGTCTTTACATTTATTATAATTGTAGCTCTGATAAATTGGTAAACAATATCCACATGTCAATGATACTCTATCTTCTCATCACCTTTCTGTTTGATATTGTGGTGATATCAGTGCTGGAGAAATTACTCATTGATCACTCTTAAGTGAGGGGATGTATACAGAATGATTATAATGTTGTAAACAACAATTTTCAAAATTGATCCAGTTCTGTAAGTGAGATATGTTGTGTCTGTTTGTTGCTTTCAGGCTTGGTGAGTCAGAGGATATAGGAGGTGCAGTATCTTTTCTATCCTCTGATCAAGCATCGTATATCACTGGAGAAACTTTAGTTATTGCTGGTGGAATGCATTCAAGACTGTGATTTTAATTTAGATTAAAAAAGGACTAAATTAATAATTACTGTTAGTGATCTCATTGAAGAGACCTTTGGTAGAATATTTTACCTCACAAGAGAAAGCTTTGAAGGTGATTTTGTGAAAACTTTGGATGTGATGTATGAAGGAAGCACAGTTAAATAAATGTAAAAAAGGAGAAAACTAATGAAATGAACTTGAGTCACAGCAGACAAGATTTATGTCTTTGACACTGGCTTGTGATGACGTTTATTATTCATTTGGTCACTTCTGGTGGTGAAAGGGTTACGCTAAGAATCCTACAGTTTTCATACTGGTGTCACTTTCAGTTCCAACAAAAAGAGCCATATAGTAATGAGATGTACTTTGACCAAAGTTTTGTATTTTTTCCGAACTTTGGTAATGAACCTGAAACTGTAGAAGCATAGTTCACCCCACCATTGTCCTCTTTCGTCCACGCAACCTCACTTCATCCAGTTTCTTTATTATCTCTCCAGCCTTGTTTGCTTTCCCCTTGTAACTTTCCAAAACAATCTTGAACAGCTGCTCAGTGTTTGGATGAGTGCTGAGGAAAGCCCTCTCCAAAACGTAAAGATCAACGCCTTTGTCTTCTGTCAGTGATGATATAAAGCTCAGTCCGAAGTCAATCAGAATGATATTTTCAAACCCAGACTTTATCAAGACGTTTGAAGTGGTCAAATCTCCATGAATACAGTCCACGTTGTGCATTACCGCCAATGTAGAACCAATTTTTTCCGCAAGACTTTGTAAACTTTGCTCAGATGCATCAGAAGGGCCATCCAGAAGCTCATTGATGTGATCTCTGGCTGTCACGCAATTTTCGATTTCTTCCATGTAGATACAATGAGTAGTGTAATCAACATAATAAACGGCTGGAGTGCAGATTCCTGCTTTCCTACAACGAAGCATTGATCGTACTTCTTGCGTAGTCCTTCGATGGGTGAGCTTTTCGTCTAGAGAGGGGTGCCTGTAACATTTTGAAAATCTTTCCTTCACTATAGTCTTCTTGGTGTAAAACTTCGTTCTGTAGACACGTGCCTCTGCGCCTTGCTTCAACAAGCCCCAACCTTCCATTGGAGACGCCATTTTGGACATGGTTCACGAGCCTTCGTGCGGTCAGCGTGAGCCTGTGAAGTTCATGCACAGTTAACTGTATTCGCCGCCATCTTCGCAACATAGAACCACGGTATTTTCGTTGTAAGTTTAGCTTAATCTCGTCTTATTTTGCCATCGTTTACAGTATACATCATTTCAACTTTGCTTTATCTTCGAAATCCCACAGCACTCCAAGATGGGTATACTGCTAAGGATGAGGAATCACTTTCAACAAAACAGTCATATAATTTACCGAGTGGTTTACGATTTGCGATTCCTGATTGCCGGTTTTCTGGTCACTGGCTACGGAGTTGGAAAGATTGTTTCTGCTTCACAAAAAAGTAAGTTTATATCTTATTGAAGGGTGTATTTTGATCTTTGAATATTTGACAAGGCATTGATTAGATCTTGTACCGGTTTGAAGGCTGCCTAGACGGGTAGGCAAACTCGTCGAAAATATAGGACTGTGTGAACAGATCTAATGTGTTGCCATCACATGAATGTTAGAGGAAGAATTTTCGCTTTTTCCCAAAATTATATTCTTTTGGTTCCGATTTGTTTCGCAGCAGACTCTTCGGGAAAAACACCACAAGAAACGCGGGAATGATATTAATTGGAGCAAGGTTCTTCTCCCGTATAGTCTGCTGGAAAGCAAATCATAGTATTGCGCTGGAATGAAAAAAGAAATTAATTGGAGCAAGGTTCTTCTCCCGTATAGTCTGCTGGAAAGCAAATCCTAGTATTGCGCTGTGGATAGCTAGTCAAAGTTTGGTGAAGCACAAAACCAGGGGTAGTTGTTATAAGTCTAGAAGTGAAAAATTTTCTGCAGTTTAGTCTTATTTTAAGTTGCAAACGTTGTGTTGCTAGTTAAAAAACAAAACAAAACAATGATAGTGCTGTCAAACAGTTTGAAAGTAGGAGACAGGTGAGATATAGAGGTGGCCAGGTTATAGTGGAAACCATGTTGTTCTATTAGAAAAATTTTACCAAACCTGGGAAATGTTCACCTAAAATGTGCCAGGAATTCCATGAAGGTCATGTGAGTCTATGGGTGCATTCTGAATGTGAAATCCAAAAGCATATCTATACCTGTTACTGACAAATTTTGCATTCATTTCTAATCCATAAATGGACAATGGCTGCTTTCCAAATATTTTTTGATGTCTCTTCAATAATTTTACAGTTTTTCATTAGCACTTATGGTTTAATGAGGTAAAAATAGAGGGCTTAGGATGGCAGGAAAGTGGTGATTTGGCCTGTTAACTGGCTCTTTTAAAGAGCTCTGAGCTATGCTATGATTATGGTAGTTTAAATAACTATTTGATATCTCTTCTCTTTTTCTCCAGAGGAAACTGGTAAAAAAGGAGGTAAGCATAGAAAACATTCTTTTCTTTCAGTACTGGTGTTATGAATGATATTCTATGAAAGATTTGAATCTTTTCAATGAAAGCTGTTTCAGAGCAAATTTTGGGTATTTAGTAGTGAAGTGCCTAAAAGTGTTAAGGGAGGCCTTGGTAACTGGGCTGGTAGGTCAGGGGGGTATAATGATAAGTTTGGGTTAAAAAGTCCATTTTATTGCTTCAACGTAAAATGAGCAGTTACACATTCAAAATATGGTATAAAAAACTGACTATAACCCAAATGCACACATCATTGTATAATCATTAGGATCATGCTCATTGTGACAAGTTCATTTGCATGTGCCTATGTTCTCTGCTTCCATACAGCCTGGTAATTTATGCCGGCATACTACTAACAGTATTTTGCCCTCTGTTCATGTGAAAAGAAAGTCAACCAGATAATATTTCCATTCAGCTGCTATTTGTATTAGTATTAAATTTCAGCTTGCCTCCTTTAGTTAACCTCCCTGTGATATTTATCAGTAGTTTCATCCTGGTGATTAAGAGAACTTGTTTATTGGAGATAATTTTGAGTTGTATAACTAAGATCTTGGTCCCAAAAGTCAAAATATCAGCCACCCTGTCTATTGGGTATTGAAAGATTCCCAAAGATGACGGAGATAAAGTGAGATCTTAAATACTAAGTCACTTGTGTGTATGTTGATAAAGGTCACCCATAGAGGCCCATGCTCTATTCATTTTATACTTTCAGCAAAACTAATTGATGAGGAAATTCTTCTTTCTCTGTAAATTAAATGACAAGAGGACAAATTAGGAGAAGAAAACTTCTCCATTTTTATGTCCTTTTAGTATTTGCAAGTAAATCAGCCAAGTTATGTTACATAGCCAATTTTTACACTGTCTAAGAGAGAGATTTAAAAAATATATACTCTTTTCATTAGGTGGTCACCACTGAAGTTTGACAACAAAATACAAGGCTTCTTCAGCCTTTGTTTCTAAATAAAGGAGCTGGATGTAAGATTGGGAGACTCCTGAGGATGTTTTCTTGGAGACTACTTTTGCTTTGTATTTTGGACTGAATTGACTTTGTGGTTGAAATTAAAATGTGATCTTTGTTTAGAAGATAGTGTTTACCTCTGCTTCCTGCCTGCTGTGTACTTAACCTGTAACTCACACTGCACAGGCATGTCCACTCATCCGAGATCTGAGACGGGGGGGGGGGGGGGGGGGGGGGGGGGGAGATGAGGAGGGACAGAGGATGTGTTGGAGCAAATGAGCTCTAGTGGCCGAGTTGGGAAAAAGAATTAAAGTGAAAAAAACTCAAAATAGAGATATTAAAAAGAAATAAAAGATGGATAAGAAATTATTGATGCATGGAAGGAGCCTGGATGTGCGTGTTTACTTTCTTCACTGTGTTCCAGACTAATATGGCATACAGGCCAGAAGATTGGAAAGAAAACATTTCTATCTTAAATGAAGCTTTGTTCATCTCGTTTTAAAGATTGTGAATTTTGTTGAATATTGGTATCTTGTTGATTGGACAGTGTAACTGGAGTGGTTATTTCATCTTTCTTTTCTTTGAAAAATGGGTCTGCTAAGTGATGGGGAAAAAAGTTATATAGGGATGGCCTCCTAACTCTTGTGTGTTTAAAGGGTTTGGGAGACCACTTCTAGTAGTGCAGAACGGCTCAGAATGTGTAACATTTTTCTAAAGCATGAGAAGTCGCCATTCGGTCGTCAGCACGCCCATCAAAATTTGCCAAAGGGGAAGATTTGAACTTTTTATGCACCTATGAAAGTTAAGAATTATTGATGAGTCTTACAGATTCCTTTAAGTGAGGTTTGCATAAATACATTTGAGGAAAAAAAGAAAGAGACATTCAAAGCAGAGAAACAGAAAGTTTTTGAAGTCACATCCAAGTCACTCACTCAACGTCTATGTGTTCAGTGGCTTACAGGGCCTCAACGAAGTCCCTCCAAATCGCCCTGTTTTGGGACGAAGACGATACTAACATTCTTTATCTCTTCTAATGGTGTTCTCCATGTTCTTTGCGTCTCTCGTTCATCCTTAGTGCATGTCAGTACGGTTCTTGCGTATGCTCATTTTTAGCAGATGGCCAAGCCATTTCCACCTTCGTCTTGAGAGATGGTTCTCATAGTTTTTTGCCCTGTGGCTTGAAGACAGTCTGACAGTGGAGATTTTATTTAGCCAGAAGATTGGCATGATTCTCTTAACCCTTTACACCGGAACATCAACATGCATTTTCTCCATAGTTGTTCTCTATACATTTCCTTGTCTTCCTCAAGTCCTGACGCAAGACAATCGAGAGCTCCTTTTTCCTTTGTTAGTGATCAGTTCATTTTTTCTCGAGACCTTTGTATGATTCGGAGATGATATTGCGAGGGAAAATTAGTCGCTCTTGGGGTCAAAGAATTCAAACAAGTGGCGTGGAACGTAGCAAGCCGGCACTGATCCAGTACCGATACTGTATTACTTTTATTAGCAGTACTCTGAAGAGCCTAAGTTTGTGGTTGTGGTAGTAGGGGCTGGATCCATCCATGTTGATCTAATGTGGACAAAAGCAGTCCTTGATTTACCTAATGAAGTGGCTGCTTCTGTCCCACCGGCCTGCGAAGGTTGATGACATTATCTAAATAAGCGAACTTGTTCACAAACTGCAGTGTTTAGTTGCTCACACATCCAGGTAGGAACTTTTGAAACTTCTTTGAATGGATGTAAGGGGTGAAAAAGCATCAAGACTCCGCTTTCAGGCCAAGGCAAGACATTATCTCTTGACGTGGGTGAATACATCTAGAGGATATGATATTATCATATAGACTAATGTGTTATACAAAGATTTTCAGCCCTGAGAAAAGCCGTAACACGTGAAAAATACGTTATTTTTCACGTGTGTTTGATATAGCCATCGTTAGTCACCTTCCGACACGTCAATCGCCTCTCGTGCCACTCGGTCAGGTCGATAAATGAACGGCGAAGCTTTCACCGTTGTTGTCGGAATTTTCTCGGATTACGGCTGCTAAAACACTGAAAAATCCGTATCTCTTACAAACAGTGACATTCAAACTTTCCTAGAAGGCGAAGAAAACCAAAATACATAAGAAAAACCGAAAGTTACGTATTCAGTGGTTTTGGGAATGGTATTTCTCGCCGCTGAGAATGAAAATCGACAACTGGAAGATTTGCCCCAACTCAATTTTGGGTGTGTACCCGAAAGATTTCTCCTGTCAGTAAGGAAAAAGTCGATAACTGAGAATTTGAACATTGAAAATTACGCCCATTGTTGTTTTCGTAATGATTCAAGGCGTTTTTCATCTTGAGCCCTAGCGCCAACACGGTTTTTATTCGGGGACTGTCGATCCTTTTACTTTCATTCGTAAATAAAGTCGACTTTTCTTATCATTAAAGGGCTATGCGTTTATGTAATAAACAAAATAATACATGGTTGCTTGTAGACATGGAATTTCTCTTCTCATTTCGACTCGACATTGCACTCGCTCGCTGCGCTCACTCGTGAGCTATCGAGTTGAACACTCTAAGAGAGATTCCATATCGGCGCCCGCCCATGTATTATTCTCTAAATTTATTACATAATGAAGGTGTCTGGTATTATGAAATGAGTTGATAATGTGTATTGGCCACCATAACGACTTTCTTAAGCTGACTTTTCGAGCGTTAGCTCTTCGTCAGACAAGGGGCTAACGCTCGTAACGTCA